TCTTTTCTTGTATTCTATTTTTAATATTTCGAGGTTACACTTTGGGGGCAGGGAGCTGGATCATCTTAAGAATATTTCATTTTCATGTTTGCAGCATTTTGCTTAAAACAGGAGTACTAAAGAATAGCAGTGGTTAGAATACATTGTTTAATGTGGTTTAAGCTGAAACACTCAAATTCACCAAAAATTACCATTACCAAGTACATCCTTAAGAGGTTTTTTAGTGGGAAGTCTAACACTAAATAGGTGACAGATACATACATCCAATTCTATACAAAAAAAAGAGAAAAAAAAGCTCAGAAATTAATCCTATTTTACACTTCTTGGAGGAAGTAAAGGAAGGACTCCAAATGTTTGACAGGATTTCCATGTTCCATGGCTTCATTAGCACATTGTCTCACTGGTCCTGCCTGGTGATCTGTCTCATTTGGGGTACAGTAGAAGGTGGCTACATCATGGTCTCACTCCCTGCTGATTGGTTTGCTGAGATTTCAACTCATTATTTCTCTGCCTCATTGCTATCTATTGCATGGTGCTGATGCATAGTGAATCACAGTGATCTTTCTCTTATCCAAACATATATATGAGCTTGGATTTACTGGAGTGATAGAGAATTTGTTGCCCTTAAGCCTCAATTTCTGTAGCTTTTTCACACTGCATTAGAACAATAACTGTGTATTTGTTTTATATTTCTCTTCTTCCTTATCTCCAGTATTTAGCTTCTCATAATAAGAGAGACAAAAAATATGTTTGAATGCAGATCACAGGGATTTCTGAGTAAAGCCTGAAAACCTTAAGACTTAAATCTTTCATTCTAGAGGCTCCTTTCCAGTCTCTGCTTTATCTTAATCTCTTTATTCAAAATCTTTTATAGGTGTTGACATATGCCTATTTGTCTACAGCCCTTTCAGGAAGAACTAACATTTGAACATTTGGGCTGCTGAAATCCTGGGTCTTTTGGAGAGTAGAAAATATGCCATTACGTGTGTACCATTATGCAATGCAAAACCAGGACCATGCTAACTCAGACTCATTCTTTATTGAATATTTATTGGACATCTGTATATCTCAGACTTATCTGATTAGATAAAATTCCACTGGAAAAAAAATCTTATTCTATTTTGCACAGAACAAGCAGCTAACAAGGCAGAGGTAATGCAAATACAAGATGTTATCAGCAGGCAAGACAAGCAGTGGATTTCCTACACCATGATGACAATTGTGAATAGTTTGAATGCACACAGTTTGTGCCCTCTTGCAAGTGTGGCATAACTTCTCCTTCTCTTCCATATGACTTAACTGTCCCACAGTCTCTGTGAAGAGGGATATGCATAAATGCAATTCCTACAGAAAAGCTGACATTATAAATTTATCAGTGGCTTATCCAGTGCAGTGGCACTCTAAATTTTCCATACTTGAACAGTATAACTTTCCATAACAATACCTAGTCTGAGGTATAAGTTGGGATGGCAAGTCTGAGATGGTGCTGACCTGTCAGAATGCTGTAGTGTGTGAGCATACAATCAGCAATATGAGGTGTAACAACATCTCCACAGGTTTGCTACTATATTGTGTCAAGGAGATGTGTACACAAAAGTAAGTAGAAACTTGCTTTGTCAATCTCTTCTGCTCAGAAATTTACCACGAAGTTACTAATGAGTGCAGTTTGTGGACTGTGAGCATTCCATGTGCTGTGTGTGTTCCTACACACATTATACACATAAATACCATGGATGATACTAGATAGGCTTCATCTGATGTATTTTAGACATAGGATTAATTCTGATCCAAATTACAGAATGCATAAATTGTTCCTAATTTTAAAATAATTTTTAGGAGCAACTAGATGCAATTCACCTTAATGAGATAATGCAGCTGTAGGGAATAAAAACCCTAAACTGAGAAGAAGTCAGGGCTCTTGAGTCCTTCCTATCATGTTCTTGAGGTGAAGTATCGATGATTTCTCTGAATTGTAAGTCTTACAAAAGGCTTATCATGTGTTATTACTTTTATTCTCAGAGATTTGTTCTGGCTTTTATTTTCTCTTCCTTCCATTCTTACTCCTAGGAGGGAGATGAAGTAAGCACTGGATTTATATAATACACAGTACAGATAATTTTGTTGAACAAAATAAAAATAAATCACAGCTATTTTCCCCTTTTTCTGTCAGAATAAATATATCCCTTTTTCTGTTAGAATAAATTTCAGATTATTGGCAGTTTTTCCACAAGGTTTTCTGTGACATCAGACCTAATTACCACCTATTCTGCTACTTAAAAATATGGGACCCTGGCAACACAGCTTCCTTTCTCCAATCACAGGGCAGGAAACCAACTGCAGGCTATTGCATTTGGATTTGTCAGAATAAATAATTAAAAGACTCATCAGCTTTTTGCTAATGAACAAGGAAATGTGATTAAGAAACTTTAAAGGAAAATAGCTGAAAACAATATAGAAATGATAACAGGGATGATTGCTGTGAATGAGTGACTGAAATTTCTGAATAAGTGATTTCTTCAACCAGGCACAAGGACAGTAGTTTAATCTTCTATTAAAAGATTCCTGTCAGTTTGGAAAAGCTCTGAATCAGGAGATTAGGCACATCTCAGAAGCTGACAAGGCAGTCACTTCTCTTAAGACAGCTACTTTCTGGCAAACACTCAGAATTTACTTTTTTTTGTGTGTGTGTGTGTGGTTTTGGTTTTCTGTTTTGCTATTTCAAGACTCTTAACTTCTACCCTACAATGACTAGGACATTTCTGATTAGTCAGTCTTTTATTCTCAGAGACTCTGAAAATACAAATCATCTTTCAGATCAAAGTGTTCTAGAGATGCTTACCAAGTTTACTGTGGCTAACATCCAGAAATTGCACTGATTAGCTTCCAGCACGCTTCCTTGCAAGTGCTTTGCATGTTAGTATTCCATTAAATATCTTATTCCTCTTTATTATTCTTCAGCATCAAAAAAATATACTTCCACCTTATATCTAATCTGTTACTATGCTTTTAACATATGCTTTCCCAGTTTATCTAAAGGAGATCATACATAATAGAGAAACGCCAAAAAATAGTGAAATAACAGATGCTGCTGCAGTTTTTCTGCATGTCAGGAGAAATATATCTTATTTTTTCCCTTTATATGCATTCATAAATGATGTGGTCTTTTTATTAATAAAGGCACAAAAGTCAACAAGATTACAAATTTTCAAGCGTGGAACTTTCCAGATGCTCAGGTATAGAAGTAATATGCGCAGAATAAGCATGAGATTCGTAGTTACAAATATTAATAAAAAAAGGTAAAATAAAATGAGCCTCAAATAGGATATTCAGCATTACAGAAAATACTCTGGGTCTAAAACCCAATAAGAAAAATGTTCTTCTACTTCAAGAGGTCTTTGGTGATTCTTCGTGCATTTTTGTTCTTTCCACGTAGTTTAAACCCACCATAGTGCAGTGCTCAGTCTAATAGAAACCCCTTCAATAGGGACATCTAGCAAAGACACAACTTCTCCTCAAAGAGCTGACATTATGAAGAGATCATCAGTTCTCTCTTCCAAACCACAGTGAAGCAAAAAAACAAAACAAAACAAAACAAAACAAAACAAAAAAAAAACTAACAAAACTGTGGGAACTCAAAATGTCTCTCAGACATTTTTAGAGGTATTAGGCCTTGGTCAGAAGCATTTTAGACCCTGGCAGACAGCTGGAAACAGCTGTGATTTTGAGTTTGAGCCATGGAATGAGTTACTAACTTTGGAGGTGGAATAAGCAGTCACAAAGGGTTAGATAATATAGTAAAAGTAGTTACAAAGTAGAGGGGAAATTTTTTTAGTGTTGTACAGGGGGGTTTTAGCACATGTACAGGGGTGTTTTCACTTTGTACCTGGGGGTCAGAAGTTCTAAGATGGAGGAAAGTGGGCTGATCCTTTTCTTCCTCCTTCTTCTTCCTTGCCTTCATGTTCTTGGTGATGTTGGCATTCACAGATTGGTTTAGAGTAGAAAAGCACTTTGTAATATAGGTAGTAGGTATTGGGGAAAACTATAAACATATAAAAGATAGCAGCAGCCCTGGGTGGGGGGAGAGAAGAAAACAGCAGACGGAGAGGATGTCAGGGTGTGTGTGTGTCTCTGCCTGGGCCGCTGACCAAACAGCCGCAGCCCGAGAAGACAATCTTTTAGATAACCAACAATAAACTGCCTTGAGACCGAACAGCAAGAGCCTGCGCAGTTTTTCTTTGGAAGCAC